TTAGCATATTTCATCCCACCAATGAAAGACAAGTGTTTTTAATACAAAAAACGCCAACCTTCAAATAATCATGTTCAGTTATGCACTCAATACTTGGTCGGGAATCCTTTTGCATGAATGACTGCTTCAATGCGGCGTGGCATGGAGGCAATCAGCCTGTGGCACTGCTGAGGTGTTATGGAGGCCCAGGATGCTTCGATAGCGGCCTTAAGCTCATCCAGAGTGTTGGGTCTTGCGTCTCTCAACTTTCTCTTCACAATATCCCACAGGTTCTCTATGGGGTTCAGGTCAGGAGAGTTGGCAGGCCAATTGAGCACAGTAATACCATGGTCAGTAAACCATTTACCAGTGGTTTTGGCACTGTGAGCAGGTGCCAGGTCGTGCTGAAAAATGAAATCTTCATCTCCATGAAGCTTTTCAGCAGATGGAAGCATGAAGTGCTCCAAAATCTCCCGATAGCTAGCTGCATTGACCCTGCCCTTGATAAAACACAGTGGACCAACACCAGCAGCTGACATGGCACCCCAGACCATCACTGACTGTGGGTGCTTCACACTGGACTTCTGGCATTTTGGCATTTCCTTCTCCCCAGTCTTCCTCCAGACTCTGGCACCTTGATTTCCGAATGACATGCAAAATTTGCTTTCATCCGAAAAAAGTACTTTGGACCACTGAGCAACAGTCCAGTGCTGCTTCTCTGTAGCCCAGGTCAGGCGCTTCTGCCGCTGTTTCTGGTTCAAAAGTGGCTTGACCTGGGGAATGCGGCACCTGTAGCCCATTTCCTGCACACGCCTGTGCACAGTGGCTCTGGATGTTTCTACTCCAGACTCGGTCCACTGCTTCCGCAGGTCCCCCAAGGTCTGGAATCGGCCCTTCTCCACAATCCTCCTCAGGGTCCGGTCACCTCTTCTCATTGTGCAGCGTTTTCTGCAACACTTTTCCCTTCCCACAGACTTCCCACTGAGGTGCCTTGATACAGCACTCTGGGAACAGCCTATTCGTTCAGCAATTTCTTTCTGTGTCTTACCCTCTTGCTTGAGGGTGTCAATGATGGCCTTCTGGACAGCAGTCAGGTCGGCAGTCTTACCCATGATTGTGGTTTTGAGTAATGAACAAGGCTGGGAGTTTTTAAAAGCCTCAGGAATCTTTTGCAGGTGTTTAGAGTTACGTCGTTGATTCAGATGGTTAGGTTAATAGCTTGTTTAGAGAATCTTTTCATGATATGCTAATTTTTCGGGACAGGCATTTTGGGTTTTCATGAGCTGTATGCCATAATCATCAGTATTAAAACAATTAAAGACCTGAAATATTTCAGTTTGTGTGCAATGAATCTGAAATATATGAAAGTTTCATTTTTATCATTACATTATGGAAAATAATGACCTTTATCACAATATGCTAATTTTTTGAGACGGACCTGTATTTTTGCAGAAATATATGTTTGTAGTTAAAATGTGTACATTATTATGTTATTTGTTTGCATTCAATTTGAGCAGTACTAACATTGTAGAACCCTTTTTATATTGCTTCACACAGTTTTAATAATCATTTTTTAAATTTTTTTATTTAAAGCTTTTTTTATTTGAAATTTAGTTGGTTCATGTTAGTACTTGTAAATAAACAGACTTTGTAATGATTCCTTTGAAAAAAGCGTTTAAATTTCTGTCCTTGCATTTTGGACATAATGACTGCTGTAACGCTCCATGGCAGGACATGTACATTTGCCTCTTATGGACAAATTTACATTATTATTACAGTATACCCATTTTTCATATCTATACTCTATCCATTATCTTTCCGAGTCGCAGGGGTCACTGGTGCCCTAACCAGCCGTCACTGTGAGAGGTTGGGTACACCCTGGACAGGTCGCAAGTCCATCACAGGGACACAGAAATGGCAAACTACCATTCACACTCTCACACCCAGGGACAATTTAGAGTTACCAATTAACCAATTATTATTGTGGAACTGGAGTACTCGGAGAAACTCACACATGCACAGGAAGAATATGCAAACTCCACCTAGAAAAGTTCCTGGCCAGGATTCTATCCAGCAACTTTCTCACTGAGAGTTAATGGCTCTACCAACTACGCTGCCCTTATGTATACTCCTTACTTAAAAATGGATGTTACAGTACTGAAGAACTGCTTTCATGTAACCATTGTAACAGTGACCCAACATGAGCTGTGCTGTCATGAAGCAACTTTTGGCTTCTTTACTTTTTAATCTGTTCGCAAAAAAACAAAAAATCCAACCTTTGTGATTATTAATGACATTTAGGTTTAAGGTTCTTTTTATTTGTCACACACACCACATGTGGTACATATGGTGGAATGAAATTGTGTACACAGGGTCCCAGTTACAACCAACAAAAGTATTGAAATGTAAAAGAAAAAGAAAAACCGTAATAAGATCTAAAATAAGAACTAAGAAAAAACATTAACTAAAAACTCACTAAGCACTAGTAGCATAAAAACATTATGCCGAACAGCAGCATGAACATGAGTTTGTGTGAGCAGATGAGTTTGAATGAACACATCATCATGAAATAGGTCAACAGCAACATGATGTGATTTTTACAGTGATTATCCTAATTAGTGATTCATGAGTTTTAACAGCCTCAGGGTAGAAGCTGTTCCTCAGTCTAGTGGGTCTACACTTAATGCTCCTTAACCTCCTTCCTGATGGGAGCGGGGCAAAAAGTGTGTGTGCTGGGTGAGTGGGGTTCTTCATGATGCAGGTGGCCCTCTTCCTGCATCTGGAGGTGTAGATGTCTGTGATAGAAGGGGTTAAATCCAAACTGTATCAGAAACCAAATGGCAAAGACAGCAGAGATAGTGTTTATGAATCTAGGGGGGCGGGGATCTCTAACTTCGAGGCATTTCCCCTCCAGTCAATAATTTTTCTTCAGCAACTGCTTGTTAGTAATGCAGGTCTTATTATATGGAGCAAAGAACAGCAGTTTGGGTTTTCTCTCTGTGTGCATCTTCTTCAGTAATTGCCGACTAATGAATTCTTCACTCCACTGATGTGTGTGTGAATGCATATTTATACATTTTGTTGGTCCAAATGTGTGTGTGTGTGTATGACAGCCTGCTAAAGTCTTGTGAATGAGCTTGGATAAGCATTTTGCTTCCAGGCTTCATCTCTGGCTCTGTTTTTGCTTCATGTCTGCTTCATTCAGATCAGACAGTGCCATACAGTCATTTCTCTCTGGAGAAATACCACGGGAGAATAGAGAGGCTGTCCGTCGGTCTGTCTGTGTGTCCGTGTGTGTTGGAACTGAATAAAGAGGCAGTGGAGGCACCAAGGGTGTAAAAGGGAAAATGAGTGAGGTATCTATAAAAACTCTGCTCTATTTAATGCAAATTACAAGTGGTTTGAATAAAAAACTATGTTACAGTGTTTCCTCTAGTTAACTTGCCATGCCGGGGTGCTCATCTCCATGATTTTTGTTGACGGGGGGGACGGAGACATGTCCGAGCGCTGCTTGTACCAATAGTTTTTGAGCAGAGGGGGGTGCATTGAGAATGAGGGAAAAGGCGCCTTTAGCTTTTTAGCTAGAGTATTGCATGCTGCTAGCTTAGCGTGACACGTTTGAGTTGTGCGCTGTTTATATAGACAGCTTTTGAGTGTGTGTGTGGAGGGGTGTTCAGCTTGGGAAAAGAGGCAACATGAGTGCTACCTTTAGCTTTTTAGCTAGAGAGCCTGTATTTCACACCGCTAGCTTAGTGCTATGTCAGTGCCAGGAGGGTGGGGAGTTGGGTTTGGTAGGTGGGGTGCTCAGTTCTGTTGATGGGGTGGTGTACCCCGCTTGTATAATGGTAGGGGAAACCATGCGTTATAAGTATATTGGTTATATATAGGTTGTTTTATTATACGTGTGAAATTTAGAGCCGTTTGGCTTTTTATTGTATCGCATATTTTCCCCTTTATTCACTTGGGATGTACTCAGATTTTCTGTAGAAGTAATAAATTTTTCCAACCATGGTGGATTTACTAGTCAAACAATGTCAAAATATGTTATTTAATTGTAGACATTAAGATTAAAACTGTCAAGTTTTCTAATTTTGCACTATTTGATATTGAATATAAACATACTGATCACATCAGTTTTGTTTTTGCTCAAAATGTTCTTTGTGATAGCACAACCTGCCATTATTTGTAGTAGCTTTTGATGCATTAATTATTACCAGTCTGTTCTAAAGTAAAATTTAGTTGCACCTCCTAATAAAACTATTATACGTACACAGTACAAATCATTATTTTATTTTATTTTGTCACTTTAAAGTAGGGCTCCTAAACTTTTCAGCTTTCAATACTTTCATGATTCCAAATAATTCTAATTAATGCCCGCTGCCATGACATGCAGGCGATTATGTGTTCATTTGTCAGTTATGTCATTAGCTACTGGACTACTATTAATGAAGCACTGAGTAACTTTATGAAGTACATATACAACTGCTTCACTTCTGGAAATAACCCTATTGAAGATGGCTACGTCTGCTAATAGAGCTTAGTAAGCACAAAATGTCTATAAGTCAATCACATTTAAATATATTGAGCTCAAATTTGGTGTGGTAGTAGCTGAGAGTCACCCCCATCAGATGATCTGAGCGCTAAAAGACTGGGCAGTGTTTCAGTTTAAAATGTTGGCTGTGAGGTGGTGGGTGATATTTCACTGACGTATTCAAGCATAGCCAAAAACTGCAGTTTTAACCAGAATATTATATATTTAATTTATGATCGTTATACACATTTTTTTTTAAAGTTAGTTGAAGGTCTTTTCAAGACCTTGGGGTCCCAAACCTAAAGTTGGGAACCACGGCTCAAAAATGTACTAATTAACTTTTTTTTTTTCAAGTATTCTGTATTTTTGAGGTTTTTGAATCAGATTTTTTTTTTCTTAATTGATGGCATTAATGAGTGATTCCTGGGTTAAGTAAAAATACATAAAATAACTAACATGGTCTCTTTTTGTTTTGTCTTTCTCTTTTCAGTTTGCCCGAGTAAAGACATCCGGAACAATGTGACCAACCTTAAGTCCCTGGAGAACTGCACCATCATCGAGGGCCACCTAAAAATTCTTCTCATGTTTAAGACCAAGACCGAGGACTTTCGTGGCCTCAGCTACCCAAAGCTGAGAGTGGTTACGGACTATGTGCTCCTGTTCAGGGTCTATGGCCTGGAGACCCTCAGCGACCTCTTCCCCAACTTGACGGTGATCCGTGGCAACAATCTCTTCTTCAACTATGCTCTTGTGATCTATGAGATGCTACAACTGAAGGAGATGGGCCTGCACAGCCTCATGAATATAACCCGAGGCGCTGTGAGGATAGAGAAGAATCCAGACCTGTGTTACCTGGCCACTCTGGACTGGTCCAAGATCCTGGATTCGGTGGAGGACAACTACATCGTGGCCAATAAGAATGAGAGGGAGTGTGGAGACGTATGTCCCGGCACTGCACAGGGTCAGACCATCTGTATTCAGACTGCCATCAACGGTCACTTCAGAGGAAGATGCTGGTCACAAAGCAACTGTCAGAAAAGTAAGCGCTCGTCTTTTAATCTTTCTTTAATATATCTGACTTTCAGACTTATTACAACTCCATTTCCTCATAAGTTGGGACGTTTAAACATTTGACATATTTACTATATTACATTATGAATAAAATATAAGTGGATGGCATTAGCAAATAACCACATTCTGTCTTAATATAAAATTTAGACATCACAGCTTTTCAGGATTTGGGGTTACAGATTGTTACTAAACCAGTCTGATATTTGCCAGAATAAAATATTCAAATATTGCTTGGATTATTAATGGAAAATGTGTCTGTGTGGGTCACACATGTAATGTCTGTATGCACAGGAGACATTTATGTTCAGAAATCAATTTGGATGGCCTATGTTTTAATCCTAAATGATTTGTCTAATGATTTCTATGATGTGGAGGGCAGGAGTTGTGCCCAGCATTCAGTGACTAGAGATGTGTGGGCTGTGTGATCTGTAATTACAGGCTCAAGAGTGACTCGATGCATGAAATTAGCCGTCTACATTGTTGAATCAGGAAGATGCACTTACGGGTTATAAAAACAACATAAAGAAGGTTAGACTAAGAGAGCAACAAAGAGAAGATCCAGCCACTCATCCAGATTTGATTTATCTCTTTTGTTTTTGTTAGATTGAACTCCATGTTTTATTCTGTGCTGCAGCTGTTCTAAACAGCTGTACAGATTTTCTTCTCCTGCTCCAAACACAGAATGAAGACAAGATTATTATTTTTAAAGGTTAGAGGTTGTGTTGCTTTTTGTCCTCTGTCTTTGTGCCTTGAACTGAGACAAAACAAAACAAAAAAAACCCCTACTCTGCTCTTACACATCAATTTTGCATGCTGAATATTATTTTTTGCTCCTTTTGCTTTCTACTTTTATTAGTCCAGAGAGCCGTACGGCAAGTGATTCTCTTTATTTCTTTGCCTTTCTCTCATACACACAACCATTCATGTTTTATAGACTGAAAGTGTTTCAGACATCTTTCTGATTCAGCTTTATACAGGAAATGCTTCTAATATCCAAACTTTTAAGTTCTTTTAGATTAACTATTTCTCCAAAAATAAGAAAAGTTGGATAGAGTGGATCTGAAATACCGGAAGCTCAGAGATGCGAGCTAGTGTGGTGGTAGTTGAGTCATTCTCAATTTATTTTCTAAGCAACAACTGATCACACAGGATCCTAGGTTAAAACTTCAGGAGTATCTGCCACAGTCAAGGAGGTACATTTACAACTACCAGTAATTGGGGCTTGATTCAAAATCAGCACCACAGCTGATCAATCATAGCAAACAAAGAAAATTACTTTAATTCAGTCTTGCATATTTGTTTGAAACTTTTTAAAGTTACATGCATATTTGGGAGACTTGTACAATTTCACAGTCTTTGCCAAAGATTTTATAGCATTTATAAACTGCTTTCTTCCTTTTTTATTTGCCTGTTTTTCTGTTCCACTCTGCACCCTCTCCTGTGCTTCGTTTGGAGACGAACATTAACTGAGGAGAATGTTGACTGAAAAATTGAGGCGACTGATTACGGACGTTGTGTCAGAAGCCATGTTTGCATGTTCGTTCATGTCTCCTCAAGCTTTAGAAGGGCCCGGGGGGCAGCTGTGATGCTGCGCTCTGCGTAATGTCATAGTTACGCAGTTAAACGAAGAGTCAAGTGTCAAAGCAGAAGCCGTTTCTAGAACACGGTGCAACTCTGCCCTCACTGCATCGAGAGGAGTGTCAGTTTGTGTGCGGGCTACACATGGGGGTGATGGGGTGTGTGCTTCTTGTTTTATTTAGTTAAAGTAAAAACATGAGTCCAACAGAAGTGAGAACTAGTTTCACATCTAAACAGATTTAGAACACATAACTAAAAATATAAAGCTCTTAGGTGATATATATATATATATATATATATATATATATATATATATATATATAAATAGCTTTTTTTTTTTTTAATAGAAATGTTGTGTAACTGTGAAGTGCTGAATGACGAAATGACTCAAATTGAGTTGTTACAGTTGAAAGAAGCAAACCATCAGCTAAAAGCCAAAAGTACCAAAGCTCTACTTAAAAGCTTATTATAGCAAAATGCTAACTAAAAATAGCTATACAATAACTGAAAGCTAAAAGTAGCAAAAGGTGAGCTAAAGGTATGTACAAAAAGATTTGCCAAAAGCTAAAGTTGCAAAAGGGAACCTGATGTCTAAAAGTGGTCAAATGATGGCTAAAAGACAAAAGTAGAAAAAGTCTAGCAAAGAGCTAAAAATAACACATGGATGTTTTAAAACTAACAACAAAAGGCTGGCTAAAAGTAACACAAGGCAGGCTAAATGCTAAAAATAGCAAAAACTAGCTAAAAAATGCAAAAGACTAGCTAGAAGTTAAAAGTAACAAAACGGTAGCTATAAGCTAAAATAAGTAGAGCTATAGCTGAAAATTAAAAGTAGCAGAAGGCTAGCTAACAACTGAAAGTAGCATAAAACAGCAAAAATAAAGCCAGTATGCTAAAGCAGATTTTAGAAATCAATATTTTTCAACAACTGAAGAGATCTCATTGACTTTCTTTGGAAATTTATTTTTATTAGGTTAAAAATGCAAAAGCTGTTACCAGGACCGCATTCCTCTACCTGCATAATATTCAAGTTTCTTCATGTTAAAAGGGAGTTTTTCCACTCTTGCCAATGTACTTGCTCAGGATGGGAAACTGCGACAAAATTAAGATTCAACACAATCTGCTGGCTTCCTTAGATATATACATTTACTAACTGGCTTTTTTAATGCATGTGAATGTTTCTGTTCAGTGCCCTGAGTCGACTTGAGTTGTGACTTGACGCTATATAAATAAACTGAATTTAAATTGAAATTAAAAAATTTAGAACATTATAAAGCTCACACAAACCAGAAGCACTTATGTGATTTACTGAAAGGAAAAAGGGTTTTGATATATAAGCTGCACAAAATATGCAGAGGTGGTTTTGGGAAAATCGATCAAAAAGAAAAACCATGAAAACACTATTGTGATATGAATTCTGAATTAGCATTCACAATTACAGGTTACTGTAATGGTATTTAATACAATGTAATAAAATTTGTGCTGCAACTATAGAATAATCAGTGAGTTTTCTACTTCCAGTTTTTTAAATGCTTCTGTGAATGAAAACTGACACGTAGATTCTCAGTTACACCGGGATTCAAGTGCAGAATGGGGGCAGATTAGAAGGGACATTGAAGTTTATGTTCAACTGTGGCTTTGATTTTGTTTTACTTTTAAAGCTTTCTACATTTCTGTCAAAGCCAGGGGAGCACCTGTGTTTCTCAGTTTTTATGTTGCTCCTTCTTTGCAAAAAACCCCCCTAAACTTCTATGCCTATATGTGGTATGACTGTGTGTGTATGCACTAAAGCATGTCAGGGTAATTTGTTGGGAATCTAAACACAGACTATAAAAGCTGACATTCATCAACCAACAAGGTTTTTAGGTCTCTTTTTTGTATATGTGTGTATCTGTAATACATATGTAATTTGTGTGTATGATTGTACTGTATATTTACAACTTGTTGCAGTTTAACATTGAGCTGTGGTGATCTAGTACAGTAGTCATTTTTTTAAGTACTAGCTACACTTTTCTCAGATTTTACAAGCTGTCATGAGTCTCTGTGGCCTTGTAGCCTGCTTGAATGTTGCCATAGCTTTCCTGTGTGTTAGTTGTGCTGTGTGCTGCAAATCAGGGATTTTTAATTTCTGACTCAGATCAATTTTTATTAAATCCTTTGCTCGTTGAAAATATAATAGCTTTTTCAACTCACAAGGTTTTTTTAAGCACAAAGATGCAACTAATTTGCACAAAATGCAACAAATAAAGCAACAAGGAAACATGCTAAAATGCTATATTGGAAACATTAGCACATCAGATATATACATAGCATAATTTGACATAGATGTCTTTATTTTAATACTTAATAAATATTGTATTTTGATTATTGAGCTTGCACCAGGAGGCAGATAGTTTATGAGGTTTATCCAAAACATTATAAAACTGAAACACAAAATTAGAAATTAAAATTACTGCGGCTTGGTTTTTTTTTTTTTTTCAATGAACTCTGGTTTGTATATTTTCTTGCATAATAAAGTGTGCATGTACCAACAAAACATTTTTATCACAAGCTGCGGATCAATAATTAGCATAGATGCTAACTTAACAATGACAAAGTTGTAGAAAAGATAACACAGTTAGCACTGTGTTTGTCAAATTTATACACAAATCAAATGTTTCAAAGTCATTTCTGAAGACAGTCATAAGATAACTTCAACTACGACTTACAGGCATATGTTTCTTTAGTTTCTGTCAAGAAAAGGTGAAAAAGGTGAAAACATAGCATTTTTTTTAATCTACAGCAACTCCATAGGACAAACAGCACTGCACAGCAACTGCTCCTGCTGCCGTTTGGTCAAAATGACCCATGAAAACTGAGGCATTGTGGGTCATTTTGACCCAATGGTAGCAGCAGTGTTAAAGTGGCAGCACACATTATTGTTAACAATTGATTTTTGACATTTGAAAATCTATTTAGAATCTTGTCCTGATGCATGCTCAATTTGCATATCTACTTATGAGATGCATCCAAAACTTTTAATTGTACTGCTATTAGTGTATACAAATGTTACTGGAAAAAGTAGAGGTGTAATCGAGTTAAGTAAGACTCTATCCTGCCCACTATTTGCATCTGTGACATCATGGAGAAGCAAAGGTGGCGTATGAGTGCAACAGCTGACAGTCGATAAAGTATCTATTTGATTAACGGCAAGCCCATCTGGATCTGTGTCACAAATTATTTGTAATATTTTTACAATAGACTAATAGAATTGCTAATTAATGTTAATTTCATTCAACAATCATGTGAAACTAGATGATATGTAAGGAAATATGTTTGTAAGTAATGATTCAAACTTGATCTGAAGTCAGTCAATACGCACACAACTCAGAAATTACATAAAGAGGGAAC